CCCCAAAACCCCAAAACCCCAAAACCCCAAATTATTCTGGGATGATTGAAACTGTCTTTTATTCATTTTGATGCAATTCTGGTCCAATAGTATATTAGTAGTTAGAAACATTTTACCTATCAAAGAATGTTAATAACTTCTGGCTGGCTTAAGAACTTATAAATTCATTCGAGTATGATACAACTTTTGCTGTAGAAATTAGATATTTTCCTAATAAATTAGAAAGAAGATAATTAAACTTTCTCCAAGTAAAACTCCTTGATAAAAGATTCAAAAGAGATAATAAAGGGTTTTGACGTTTTATGACATCTATGATTATAAACTCCTGGACAGAACCTTCATTGCTCTTGAAGAAGGTTCTCCAGTCTATTGGAGTATTCCGCATGCAGCCTTGTTATAATTCATTTGCATTGCTTTGGTTTTTACGATTAGATTTCTCCAATTGTAGACCCAATAATAGTTATCTTCTAGTTTGGCTACCTTCGACTTGTTTATTGGGAAAGATCCCTGGAGTCATACAGGTAAGGACCACTAATTTGTGTTTTGGGAATGAGTGGCAGAAAAATAAGTGTATATTTTTGAAGTACTAGAATGAATTTAAGATAATTTACTATGGGCTGGGAGGTTTTTCAGTCAATATGGAAGCTGAGGAGTGGAGATAAACTTTAGAGATGATACTTCCTCTCTTCCCACCACCACACCTTACCTCTCCTTCTCCCCCTTCCACCCCAAAAATTTCCTCCATACTCCTTTTCCACATCTTTCCAAAAATCCCTTCCAAAGCCATCCAAAAATGTGACTTAAAATCCCAAATTTTCTAATTTCCTACTTAAAAAACTACAGATTTTTAACCTCCAGTTTTGAAAATTTATCAAGATTCTTTAGAAGTTAAAATTTTTAGAAAATTTAAAAGGATTATTAACTAAGTTTGGAGAAACGAGCGTCTGGGCAGACACTGATTTCGGCGAGAAGAAGTCTCCGAACTTTTTGAACTTTCTTGGTGTAGATGGATTTTGAAGAGCCATTCTCGTTGCTGGCTTCTTGGATACTGTCGAGAGAGCGGTTGATGTCCTGAATTCAGCCAGGCATCTTTAAATAGGCTTCTAGGTGAAGGCTGTCTTCGCTATCTTCCTGGCTATTTGGTGTGCTACTACTTTCTTCACTACTATCGGATTTGAGTATGAAGTTTTCTTTATTTTCTTCTCCTTGTCATCACTCTTTACTTTCTTCAATTTGACGTTTTGCGAAATATGAATAAAAATCCTCTTTTTTCTCATCAAATATTGGAGTACTATCGATATCACCATGTAGATACTTTGACTTTAAAATTTGTCCTCGAGCCCTTTTCATAGTCTCTTTTGAAAGAGGCATATTCATATTGTCATGATAACTTCTGCATCCGAGTTTTGAGTTGACACTTGCGAATCTGGTTTTAAAATCAGCCTCTCTTATGCATGGTTTGTTTGATCTTGTAAGTCAGCCTATCTCAGGCTTATTCACCTTAATTTACAAGTGATTTTCATATTTGGTAGAAGAGGGTAGAATTCTCCCTGAACTCTTTCTCAATAAATCTTTGGCTTTGCTTGGTTCTCTTGAAACCAGTCTTTTATATATTTTTGGAGTCTTTAAGCCAGTTTCAGGTTCAGAGGGATCCTCCTTCTGGCATGATTTACAGGATGTAATGTTAAGGATTGCATTCCACATTTTTATTAGCTAATTATTATTATATTATTTGAGCATTTCAATCTGGCTTTTAAGCTAAGGGGTTTTGGGGTTTTGGGGTTTTGGGGTTTTGGGG